TAATAATTAAATTGTAAATTCTATCTAAAGTAGAATCATAATTAATGACTAAAAAATGTTTAATTAATTGAAATGTAATTTGGATCAATTTTAAAAATAAAATTAATTCAAAATTTAATAATTATTTTAAATTAGAGAGTAAATTTAATTTAGAATCTAATCAATTAAATTTTGAAAATAAAATAAATAATTATTTTAGATAATGAAACAAATGAAATTAATTTAAAATTAAAACTAAATGAAATCAATGTAAAATTAGAATTAATCTCAAGTAATTTTGGTACTAAAATTAATAAAAGGAAAAGTTAATTTTATAATTAATATGATATTAACTTTTTAAATGGCTAATTAAGAAAAATATAATATATTTTTAATAACTTTAATAAATGAAATTAATTTGAAATCAATAAATATTGAAAATAAAGTCCAACAAATTAATAACTACTTTAATTAATAAATGTAAAATGATTTCAATTAATTTTAAAAATAAAATTAATTAAAGTAAAAAATAATTTATAATTTATAAAATAAATTTAATAATATTTATCAAGTTGACCGAGTGGACTAGCTGTTAGACCAATTCAACTAGTTAAACTAGGCCTACTAACCAAAACAGGTTGATCAATGGGTTGGGTTTTAAAACATTGTTTATACTTTAAGGTGCGTTTGAAATTGCGATTTACAGTTTTTTCGTATAACCACACAATATTTTTAGATATATATGTGTTTGGTTTTTTTTTTCAAATTGCTTTTTTTTAAAACTACAAAAGCAATAGCAAATCTACAGTAATTTTATGTATAAAATTAAAAGTCTTATTTTGAAACTTTCTTAATGTGGCTTTTATGGAGAATACCTAATATTTAATATAATTACAAAATTATCCATTAAAACTTAATTTTATATAATTTAATTACATCATAATTTATCATACTTTAATAATTAAAAAATTTTTAAAAACCTAAATTATTAAAAAATATATATTATATATTTTAATAATTATAT